CACTCGTCCAATCATCACGGACACAGAACTCAAAATCTCTTGACGGGCGTCATTTATAAATGAGTACGAAGTCTGTGCTATATACTCCAATAATTGTAAGGAAATTGTGTAAAACATGGACATACGCAGACATATCTTCATTTCATCATCTGAGTTTAAATTGTTTCACAAAATACAATGTTTTAAAAGATAAACGTAAAATGCCGTTGCATATAAGGGAAATAACTGTAAAACTGTCAGTGATTTCACTGGTTTAAACCTAAAATAATACTAGCTGTAACTCAAAACTACAACTAAATTGAACAGATCCAAATCTTAGCTCCTAATGTGGATCACATTATTCTACCACCAGACCTAATTCTTTTTTGAAATAACGCAAAATCAGCAGACATGACTGTCATGAACGACCAAGTGAATATATACGACCATATGACATAAAGTTTAATATTGGAATTCGAAGCTTAATGTGAAATCAGTTTTACTGGACAGTAGTCAATAATTGGCCAGTCGATAACTGCGTTTTGGCTATTATTCTGTCCATCGGGAAGTGAACCTCGAAGCAAGATCATAATCTGAATGACTTCTTTATTGCTAACATAATAAGGTCGCAATCACTCTAGCAGCATGAATGTCAAGAACTAAGGCAGCATCATACTACTAACATCTCCGTGCAAACTTCAGTATCTCATATATCCCTCTCAACGTTTACTACTTCATGACGAATAATCTAACACAGAAGCCTGTGCACATTGCATTTCGAACATCAGTGAGTAATGTATTCGACGCTGTCAATTCATCCGGTCAATGGTTCACTTACCAGCACATTGACCTGTAAAATCGCGCAAAGCAGCAATGTTTTGGATGTAAAGGAATTTTGAATCATATATAATCGAAATAAGAATGAATCATGCATAATTTATTAGGTTTTATTTGGCATCTGCAGCTAATTTTTGTACCGAATACATGTTCTCATTCACCAATGAAACTGATTCTTCAATGACACAAATCTATCACACTCAAGTTGAATATATTATTCTTTCATAAGAATAAACATGTATCACTAAGGTCCTCATAAACGACAATGCCGTCTGTCACGATTGGACGACTCAGTACATGAGGTGATGTGGGTTCGAAGTGAAATGATATAGTCAGTGCAGTAGTTACATCATGGTGAGTCGATAGCATGATAGTGTTGCTGCTAATCAGTTAAACACCATTAAATCGTCATCAGACCAAGGTTTGACTTACTCACAATCATGACATAACAAAATTAATGAGGAACAAATCGTTCTCTCTTTTTTTGCCTACAAATTGTTTTCTCTTGGAACGCATACTTATGAACATTATGCTTACGCTGATACTTATTCAAAATATACCAGTATTAATAATTGAATAGTGAAATTGCAAAACCATGGAAAATTCGCTTACGAGGACAACTCCCTACAAAATGAAGTGTAGATATTTTTCATCATTAAATGAAAATTTCTTAATCAAATTCTCATAAAAAATTATTTTATAATCTTTAATTTTATTTGTACTATTTGGCATCTACAGTGAATACATGTCCCGAAGAAATTAAAATCATTTCCTTTCATAACAAAATGATGAATGCTATCCATCTGTACTCGTATTGTAAAATATTGTATTTGATCACCAAATTTAGGATTTTGACGTAGGTCCTTACAAACAACGAAACCGTCTATCACGATTGGACGAATCGGTAAATGACTTGATGTGGCTTCGAATTGAAATCATATAGATAGTGCAGTAGTTCCATTATGGTGAGTCCAGAGCATGACACTGTGGCTAGTAGTTAGTCTTGTAGCATAAATGAGTTGACTACCACTAACATCAGGCATACTCCATATCAATAGATTATGAATTACTTGGTGTACATCTCCAGTTCTCATTTGTCGCCTCCAGTATTGAGGCGCCCGTAACGCATACTAACTCAGAACATGTTGTTGCATTTATAAAATCGAGTAAGGATGTTTTATAACTTGTTTACTATAATAACGCTTGCATACCAAATATGACTTACTAAGACATTCGGCTATCACATCATTTGATGAAATTTTGCAATATAAACAACACGAAAATTATTCACACGCTTGTAAACAATTTTGGTTTAATCTATAATCCATTATGCAATTGTTCGCACCTACAATGAATAAGCTTTCATCTATACGTACTATCAGTCACCTATGTAACAAATTCTTTGAACGCTACGCATCTTTCATACTTATGTTAATTAAACTATTATATCATCAACTTGATCGAGTTCTTCGGGTTCTCTTTACAATCAACAATACCGACTTTCACGATCAGACTAGTCAACCTAAAGGATGATATGACTTGAGCGTGGAATCATATAGAATGGGCAGTGATCACATAATGGTGAGTCGATAACGTTACGTTGTGTCTGTAAGTTAGTTTAGCATTGTAGATACGTCGACTCTGATCTACACTTCAATTAATCCCTTCAAATATAGTTTATTTTATATATTGTATTCCTTATGCTTTCAATAATCACATTCAACCTGTTGACGATCGCAACGCACAATCTCTCGCATTGCATTTTAACATATACTATTTCGAATGAGAATGATGTTTTTTTTAAATAAAACTTTTAGTTATACTGCTTTCAATATACAGTTACCTTTTTCCAAATCTATATTGTAAATGGAAATATTTTGCGATGCAAATACAATACGATATAAAATAACAGGATGTAAAATAAGATTGCAAAATCTCTAATTCACTATGCAATTGTTGTCATTTCTATTGAGTTTGAGGTAACAAATACTTGCAATCATTTCATAAGTAAAACAATTTCTACGAAGCTATACATCTGTTTTCTTCGTGTTAAGCATATTGTTGTATTGCGAGACTGAATAGCTGCTTCTTGGTCTCTCACAATCATTATTACCGGCTGTAAAAATTGGTTGAGTCAGAACATATGATAATGTGACTGGGGAGTAAAATCATATATATATATATATATATATATATATATATATATATATATATATATATATATATATATATATATATGTATTGAGCAGAATTCATATCATGGTGAGTCGATAATGTTATGCTGTGGCTATTATTCAGCCTGGCAGCATATATCCTTTGACTAACGTCTGTAATACTTCATACCGTTACAATAAAAATTACACTGTCTACACCTTAAACGCTCAATTATCCTCATCAACACTGAAGCGCTCAAAGTTCTGTTATTAGCAGTGTCTTTCCTACGACGACGTTTGCAGCAAAGAAGATAAATTTAATAAAATTGATTTGTAACAAATTAACTCACAAAGACGTTCAATTTTTTCTACAATAGTAAATAGTTTGTTACAGAATCAATAAGAAATTTAACCACAAGTTGTGAAACAAGATTGTGTGAACGTTATTATATTCCGTAGTTGTTGTCATATCCAGGTAATACTCTCTAACAAATAATTGCTCTCAAATTCATCTGCAACACATTCATTGACGCTGAACATATATTGGTGGACTGATCGTGTTCATCAAAGGTTGTCATAAACAACAATGCGGTCTGTTACGACTGGGAGAGTCAGCTGAATAGATGTTTTTCTGACTTTGGCGTAAAATCATATAGAAAGAGCGGTAATCACGTCACTGTTAGTCGATAACACTACATTTTAACTATTACTCAGTCCACTAGCATTGATAATTTGACTACCACCTATGCCTTAACTACTCGATCAAGGTACATTCCATATTGGTTGGTGTACAACTGTAATCTTAATTATCTTCTTGCACATTTAGGCATCGTCCATGTATACCATTTCACACTGAGTTTCACTTATCTTATGTCGAATATTATTAATAATTTTCATTGAAACCAATTTAATGCATTGATTATAAAAACTCAATTACCTTCTTCAACGTCTAGAATGAACATGAAATATTGTGTGTGATGAAATTATGACAATAAAAAAAAAAGATGTTATCTAGTTCGTGAAATTTCTAATTCACTATACAGTTTTTGTATTCACCAATAAATTCATGGCATTGAATACTTGATCTTAGAGAAGGTATCTACAAACATTCAATGAAGAAGTAGTCATCGGTCAAACATGACAATGAATGTACAATTCTAACAACCAATCAAATTTGTGTTCTTCATGTATTCAATGCAATCATCGCTTGGAAGTGTATGTGAACCAAAAAAAGCAATTATTTCTTACAAAAGTTGTTATCATTTTTATCGTTGATATCACTGAAAACATGATGTCTACATTATCATGACTATGAAACCTTTTAGTGCTATTTACTAAATCTGAATAAACTATTGAACTGGATCACTGAAAACTTGAGTCTGTACGTTAATTACTCTAAAAAGCATAATACTACAATGAGATTATTATGGGAACACGATTTCCAATTGGATTTTATATAACATACTTTTAACGAAAAAAAGCAAAGGAAAACAGCATATTGTAACGTTTAACTTACTGATTTCATTAGCCTGAAGGAACACCGCGAACATGACATTGATGGCCAACAATAACCAGAATTTTGTCATCATTGTTTTAGTTTGTGTGTTAAAACTATGTTGTACAGAATGTAGAATAGGTCTTGTTAAGAACTTGTGTATATATATATATATGTTTTCTAGATTAGTTAACCTTGATCAAGATTAATTGAACGTACAGAAAAATACCAATCAGTATGTGAACATTTCAATTCATGAGTTGATAACAATTCAATAAGCGTTTAGTTATCTATTGAATACAATCAAACCTATGGTAGCTTAATACAGTTTATCAAGTGATTGGTTAATATCATTATCTTAAAATTGACCATTAGGAAAGATAATACAGGACTGAAAGAAATAAGTGATTTTTGCAAATGAAAATCACATAAGATTTAATAGTTGTGTCATAAAAGAGTTAAAAATATTATATGATCATATTTTACATTAGTAAAAGTAACAATAACAGTGGAATCCGTTGTATTATGTATAATTTTTAAGAAGTGCCATTGAAACTAGTAATGGTAGAAGCAGCAGTAGTTGTGGTAGTAGTAATAGTGATAGTTGTAGTAGTATTTGCTGTAGTAGTTAGAGTAGTAGCAGTAGTAGTCGTAGCAGTAGTGGTGGTAGTGGAAGTAGTAGTAGTCAGAATGGTAGTAGTAGTAGTAGAAGTAGTAGCAGTATTAGTAATAGTATTGGTAGCACTAGTGGTAGTAGTAGTAGTAGTCAGAGTAGTAGTAGTAGTAGTAGTAGTAGTAGTAGTAGTAGTCAGAGTAGTAGTAATAGTCGTAGTCGGATAAATAGTAGTAGTAACAGTAGTAGTAGTAGTACTAAAGATAGTAGTATTTGTGGTTGTACCAGTAGTATTAGAAGTAGTAGAAGAAGTGTATGGGGAAGTAATAGTTGTTTTCAAAACAGTTAAATTAGTAAGATACAGTGTATTAACAAATGTAATAAAAGGACAAAAACACCAATGTGAATTCAACGAAAAAAAATTGAAATTATGTTTAGTAACGTTTTTACCGTATAACTGTATTTATAATCATTGATGACAAACATGATGAGAAAATGAAAACGTAATTATTATGATTTGTTGACGAACTGTGTGCAGGAATGGCGATTTCGGTAACCAGATTGATGTGCAAATCAGTCGGTAAATTGTACAAAAACTAGGTCTACATTTCATTAAAAACAGACTGCTAAGATATTCGACAGCTGATCAAATAATTTTGTACACACAACAAACATTGGAAAACGATTCTTACGAATGACAGCATCTGCAAATGATACAACGAAAACGAAACAAAATTTAAAGATAAAATATGCAGGTTAGATTTATGGAAGTCGGTATTCATAATGCACTACTAGGCTACCATAGTCGAGGGGGCGAACATTGAGTTGATAAGTAAAAGCGCCAATGATATATGAATTAGGTTGATTCGAATAAAGTGTTTCTGAAATACGATCATGCAAAATCAAGTTATTGTGTTTCATTTATCTTCAGGTTTAATTGAGGAACAGAATGGATCAAAAAAGAAAGGGAACTGTAATCAAGAAAACATCAAAAGTCAGCAAGTTCTCATAAGATATAATTCTAGATGGTAAATACTCTGAAGTAAGCAGCCTACATCTCAGCACAGATAAAATAAAATATCACTCCCCATTCATCATTTATCTTTTCATCCTTAGTCAAAACAAAGAGTGCTTGGTTGAAGCGAAGCGTTTCTCAATGTGACAGCAAACAGGTTATCCGCGTAAATAGAAACAGATTCTTACATCACGTTTAAGCGTGTGTACATCACAGTTCCAGTTGTCACATATCGCTAAATGTAGCACACTTTCATTGCACAAAATGAAAATCCCTCGAAATGAAATGTCGACACACTGTTACATTTTAATTTAATTCCGTTCTTCTTGAATAACCTTTCATATGATTAAGAACAAAATTGTTTATTGTGACGGCGTAAAGTGCAGAAACATTGAAGCTAGAAATGATGACAATTTTCCCTAATAATCTCGCCAACTGTATACAGATATACAATCGCATCCTGAAATATCGTCGGCTGTTATGTTCATCAAGTCCGTACACATCGTGAACAGGCGTCACGAAAACTTATTCTGTCGACATTTCACCGAATTATTCATACTTTGATAGAAGCGTGAAAAGATTTTCATACACGTTTGTTTAACCAAATCCCACAAAAACGGATGAAGGAACACAGAAAAATAAGTGGCCGTTGGTGATCGCAATCATTTCATGCAATACTTTGAGAAATGAAACTCAAACATATCTCTAACTCATAACTGAGTCAATCAACTACTTTCAGCGTTTTGAAATGATAGAGATGACTGGGGCATCGGATGAGTGCATTTGCCGACATTTGAATCTGTGACGTAATTTCAGACAGGCCGAATTGTACAAACATCACAATATCATCAAAACGCTTTCAGTGTACTGCATGTCCTTGACTGTAAATGGTAATAAGGAAAAAATAAATATTCAGATGTGAATAGGTGCAGCGAAAAGTAAAAATCCCAAAAAATAACAACTAATAAGGTATGATATTTATGATTATGCACTGATTCAACAAGATAAAATACTGTGATGATGTAATGTGAAGCATAAAAATGCTACGTTGACTCAATCTCTCAATCATAAAATATTACTATTCTAATACTCATTGTAAAAGTCATTTAGAGTAGAATATTGTTTATTCCACGTCACCATACTGAATTGATTAGCTTGTTCATATATCTTGTCCTTAATTAGTAGTGCTATGAATTGGCACTAAACAAACAAATGATCATTTAATTAGAAAAATAAAATAACTCAGTTAGTGAGGTCAACAGAAAATGAGAAAAAAAACAATAAACACGTTTAGACGGAATGATCAAGATTTGAATGTGAATATGAATAGGAGGTGATAATTTCATTCATTCATTGAACAGAATCTATTTGAAAAGAGGATTGAAGAGCGATCACTTCACCGACTGGTCTCAATATGGCAACAATATCAAGTGGTATATGACACACCGAAATTGGTTGAACTGAAAAGACATTGCATATTGTGACGATTGAAATATCGTATGAGCGATAATGTCATATGTCTGTGATTAGGGAAAGCATTGAAGAGGTGAAGTGATAACTGGACTATGTGTTCCATTATGCATCAAATGAAAAATCATATACACCACATCATCAAGTGAATGGAACTGTTGATCGATGGAATACTTGATGATTATTTTCGGATAGTTTCATTCGCGTGCATGGCAGTGCTATGTGCAATAGTTGTAACATTATCTATTAAGTAAACAAACACTTGTGTAGGGATTTGATGCATTGAGTTACAGCAGATTGTAATATTAGGAGCAATTCACACAGCTTTAAGAAATATGTGTACTACTCCTTTTAAATTACAACATCTCAAATGGTATGACAAGATGTTTAATTATAACAAAACAATTGATGAAGAACGGAATGCAAACTGAAAAGCAATCAACAGTCGAGGAGTTCTCAATAAATATTATCTAGATGGGTAACACTCGTGAATCAACAACGTATATCTTAGAAGAGCTTCAATAAAATATCACGTCTTTTAATCACTCATGTGATCATTGTTATTAGAAAGAAAGTTTTCTTTGTTGGTTGGGGAGGAGTTTTTGATAATGTGACTGCAAACAGGTTATCCACGTAAATAAAAACAGATCCGTGCACCAAATGTTAGCCTATGGAATTCACAGTTCCAGTTGCCACATATCACTAAATGAACTAAACATAATTTCATTGCACAAAATGAACTTCCTTCGAAATTGCATTAGTTGAATGTTGACACGCTATAACATTTCACTTCTATTCTGTTCTTGTTGAAAAAAATTTCATATGATTTAGAACACAATTGTTTTATGCTCATTAAGGAAAACAGTACATTAAAATTGAATCTAGAAATGATCAATTTGTTTAATCAATACTGTGTACTTCTACCATACTTTTGCATCAGAAAACTTCATATCAACAAAAAAATATTTAAATACGTGCTGATTTCTATTGCATACCAAGTATATAATTAGATTCCAAATAACACGGTTTAGAACACAACTCTGTATGCCAAAATATCTGAAGAATGATAATTACACTAAAACTATAAAGTCTGTTTCAAAAATTATCAACACGTATTCCATCGATCAACAGTTCCATTCACTTGATGATGTGGTGTATATGATTTTGCATTTGCTGCATAATGGAACACATAGTCCAGTTATCACTTCACATCTTCAATGCTTCCCCTAATCACAGACATATCACATTATCGCTCATACGATATTTCAATCGTCACAATATGCAATGTCTTTTCAGTTCAACCAATTTCGGTGTGTCATATACCACTTGATATTGTTGCCATATTCAGATCAGTCGGTGAAGTGATCGCTCTTCAATACTCTTTTCAAATAGACTCTGTTCAATGAATGAATGAAATTATCACCTCCTATTCATATTCACATTCAAATCTTGATCATTCCGTCTTAACGTGTTTATTGCTTTTTTCTCATTTTCTGTTGACCTCACTAACTGAGTTATTTTATTTTTCTAATTAAATGATCATTTGTTTGTTTAGTGAAAATGGTCTAACTTATTCATCTATCTTATTATCATTCATAGCACTACTAATTAAGGACTAGAAATATGAACAAGCTAATCAATTCAGTATGGTGACGTGGAATAAACAATATTCTACTCTAAATGACTTTTACAATGAGTATTAGAATAGTAATATTTTATGATTGAGAGATTGAGTCAACGTGACTTGACTGCAGAGCATCTGAATATTCTCTGATGTCTATTGGATTTTTGCCTTTATTCAAGTTTTCACAGTTGTAAACATGCATTGATATAAAGTAGAAATTGTCATGGCGTGTGATTGCTAATCGATGTTCGCTCATGCAAAGCCCAAGTGGATGTCCACTTTTTCAAACGTAGAGCTATTCAGAAATGGAACAGCTTGTGTAATGGATTTTTGTTCCTTGGTTTGTATCATATAGATTGATATCTGTGTGTCACACCTATTCCAAATGGTTTCATTAATCTCGTTGTGAATTCAGCTAATTCTCTTTAATATAGAGAATGGATTTGTACCCAATTTTTTAGGTGATGTGTTGAATTGTTATCTGTTGTTGAAGATGTTTAGGTAGCCAAAGTTGTGAAGGAGATTCAGAAGATATTTTTCTTCATTCTTCCGCGCGGCATGTGTGCTGTAGTGTGTTCACATCCTCTTGAATAAAGTTTGTACGTAGTTGATTTAGTGAGTTCTCGTGTTGTTGCTATTATAGTTGACATTCTGATTTGCCTGGTTTGATTCTGGTGAACAATACATCCTAGAATGATAGTCTGTTGTGAACCTTATGTCATATGGGGAACAGGTGATAGGACTGTACTGCAGCCTTTTCTTTTTGATGATGACGGATATGGCGGAAGAATCGAAGGCCAAAATTGTATTCTCAAACATATGAAAGGTTATTGAAGCAGAACAGAATGGAAGAGAAATGTGATAGCGTGCCAACATTCAACTAATGCAATGCCGAAGGAAGTTCATTTTGTGCAATGAAATTATGTTTAGTTCATTTAGTGATATGTAGCAACTGAAACTGTGAATTCCATAGGCTGACATTTGATGTAAGGATCTGTTTTTATTTACGTGGATACACTGTTTGCAGTCACATTGTGAAAATCTTCTCCTCAATCAACAACGAACTCTTTCTTCCTAATAACGACGATCGCATGAGTGATTGAAAGAAATGATATTTTATTGAAGCTCTGCTGAGATATGCATTGTTTACTCACGAGTGTTTCCTATCTCGATAATATTTATTGTGTTATAAAACACTTGATATTGTTGCCATATTGAGACTAGTCGGTGAAGTGATCGCTCTTCAATCCTCTTTTCAAATAGATTCTGTTCAATGAATGAATGAAATTATCACCTCCTATTCACATTCACATTCACATCTTGATCATTCCGTCTAAACGTGTTTATTGTTTTTTTTCTCATTT